AAAAATCCTTTTTTTGGGGCGCCTGGGGGGCTCAGGTGGCTAAGCCGGCAACTTCAGCCCAGGTCATGATCTCACGGTTCGTGGGTTCGAGCCCCACGTCGGGCTCTGTGCTGACTGCCAGCCCAGAGCCTGGAGCCTGTTTCAGATTCTGTGTCTCCCTCTCTCTCTGACCCTCCCCTGCTCATACTGTCTCTCTTTCTCTCTCTCAGAAATAAATAAAACATTAAAAATATTAAAAAAAAAAATTTTTTTTAAATCCTTTTTTTTTTTTTTCTGGTTCTCTGTTCCCTAGGATTCCCTCTACGAGAAGTTTAGCGCCCTCTCTGCCACTGAGGGACAGAAGCACCTGAGAGAGGAAGGGGTCTTCCTGGAGACCTACTCAGTGCGGCACGGCCCCGAGCCCGTCACGGAGGCCTCGGTGGAGTACCTGCAGGAGATGGCCAGGATCCGCCTCTGTCTCGACAGGGCATCTGACCTCCTCTCCGGGCTCCAGGAGGGCTCAGGCAGGTCTTACGCGCACCCCTGTCCACCCCAGGCTCAGGGACTGGCTCTGTAGAAATACGGGAAGCCGGTTCTCAGAGCCATCCTGGTCTGCACAATGTCGCCTTTCTTCTGGATCGGTGTCATACGGGAGCTGCAGGGGCCCGTGCCTTCCACGCCCGGCTCCGAGTCCTGGGCGGGCGGGCGAGTGGCGAGGGTGCCGGCCGCCGGGCCCTGACCCCTGGCTCTCGCGCTCTGCAGAGGTGGCCGAGGACAAGCAGCGTTACCTCCGGCAGGTAGAGCGCTTCTGCAGGCAGGTGAGAAACGACTGGTACCGGGTGTACCTGGTGCGGAAGCTCACCAGCCTGCGGGGCATGGAGTTCGTGCAGCGCCTCTCCAGACCCGGCCACCCGGCGCGCTGGCTGTTCCCCCAGGCGGTCCTGGAGCAGCAGGTGAGCGGTGTTCGCCCCCCCCATCCCCCCGCATGGCTGGCCTGGTCCCCGGTGCCTCCGCGGCCCCCCCCAACGGTGTCCCCCCCCCGTGCGGCTGGCCTGGTCCCCGGTGCCTCCGCGGCCCCCCCCCGACGGTGTCCCCCCCCGTGCGGCTGGCCTGGCTCCCGGTGCCTCCGCGGCCCCC